TGGGTGTTGCTGCACTGGCCGAGACCCAAGGACCGATCCCCTCCACCAGCCTCCGGACCCGCCCGGCCCCGAGAGCAGGAGTCGGGCGGTTGGGCACTGCAACAGGCACCACGCCTGCCCATCGGGTAACCGATGCAACAGCGCGGGAAGGAGCCTTCCCTAGCGCCGCGAGCACCCTGACGGGACCGGCCGTGCTCGGAAGGAGCGGCTTCCACGGCGAGGGCTCGTTCCACAGCCCTGAGGATCCCCCGTGTCAGCCCCTCACCCCGCCCGCCATGGCGGCCCCTCCCGGCCGGGCCCGCCCCCCGCAGGGCGGGGCCGTTGCTACGGGGCGCGCGCGGCGCGGGAAGCGAACGGCGGCCGCGGGGCGTCATGGCCGCCCTGTGCATGGTGAGAGCCGGCCCGGCCAGCCGAGCGGGGCACGGCGGGGCCTCGGGGGGGGGCTGCCACCCAGCGCGGGTGGGGCCAGGGGGTCCCCGGGTCTGCTGGTGCGAACGTTGTGTCGGAAGCGGGGGTGCTGGAAGGCTGGGCTGGTGCCGGCCGGGGGGTGTCTGGTGCTGTGCGGGGCCGCGGTGGGAGGCAGTGCTGGGGTTAGGGGGGGGTTAGTGCTGATGGGGGTGGGCTGTGGGGCCGCAGCTTGCAGGAGGGGCTGGGGGCAGAGGGTTTGGGGGAGCTCGGTGCTGCCCTGGGTGTCGGGGGGCTGTGGCAGCTGGGGCTGAGCTGTGCCCGTGTGTAGGGGCAGCTCTGGGCTGTTGGAGGGGCTCTGGCTCTGGGGAGGGCTGGTGCTGGGTGTTGTTGGGGGAAGTCAGTCCTTTTCTGGGGCTGGGTGCAGGTTTGAGCAGGCTGGGGCTGTGATCAGGTCCTTAAGGGCAGAAGGTTGTGGTGGGCATTGCCAGGGGGTCGGAGGCTGCGTGTGCGAGAGCAGGGGTTGAAGCCTGATCAGACTGTCCTGGTGTCTGGGAGATTTTCAAGTGTTAAAGCCTCTGGTTTTTGTTTGTTTTTCTGCCTGGCCTCAGGCTTTGTTTGGCCTTTGCAGCAAGGTGCTGTGTAGGGACATGCTGCGTTCCCCAGGTGCAGGGGATGGGTAGTGGGTCAGTCTGTTTTGCTGCAGTTCTGATCCCACCTGCCTATTTCAACAGCTGTGGTAAATATTGCAAATTTGCCTCTTCTGTGCAAATAGTGGCCTCTTTGCTGCACCTGAGCTGGGATGAGCAGCTGTCAGAGCAAAACTGAGCTTGACTGCCTGCTCAGGTGGTGTGGACATGGCTTGTCTGTTTATAGTCAGCTTTGGAGTCTCTATACCAGCAGCATAAAAATGCATGAGGGATGTGTGCAAAGTTACCTTAGATTCAAGCTAATAACAGGTTGGATAATTTGCCCCTTTTAAAGTTTGTGATACATGCGAAATTTGTGTCCTGTGTTGTGCAGTGTTCTTGTCTCTGCCTGGCTTTTGTGGGGTGAATATGTGGCTTGGTTCACCTGTTGTAGAAATCACATAGTTTTATTGTGCCAAGATGGTTCCTAATCTATGGTGTCTAAACATTGTTGTCTTCTAGGAAGATCCATCTCTGGAGAGAAACTTCAAAGGCCACAGAGATGCTGTCACTAGCGTGGACTTCAGTCTCAATAAGAAACAATTGGGTAAATAGTCCATGTTTTGGTGGCCAGATGGCAAAGAAAGAGCTTCTCTGCTTTATTTAGATGGAGGGAGGAGTGGAAGTACTGAGCTCTGCAACAGCAAAAGATCCTACTGGCCCTTCCTGCTAACAGCAAACTGAGCGCTGCTCTAGTCACCTTGCAAGCTTATGTTTCTCATATATTGTCAAGAACTGCTGAGCTGACTTTGATCAGCGTTTTCAGATCATGCTGGAGGGAGATGTAGCCAGGTTGCCTTTACATCACCAGCTCACTGCTCTCTGTAATCTGTGGTGTGTTATTTGATATTTAACCTGCTGCAGCTGACACCTGCCTCTGCTTCCCACTAAGAAAGTGATGAGATAACCTTCATTCACAGGCCTTCTCTGTGTTCCATGAGTGTGTATTTAACTGGAAAAAGCTTTACAAACCTGTGTGGCTTTTGCCTCTGCAGCTGTCGCATGTCCAGACCCTTGGAAGCAAATTGTCAGTCCAAGGCAATGTATGGCTGGCCTTGTTTTATTTGAATTGCTAAAGAAATACTCAATGTGCAATACACTGGTGAAGCTTCAAGGACAATGCACTTGAGACTGCTGGAAGCAGGGTACTGAGCTGAGTGTGAAATGTAGGTTTAGTGCAGTTAGAGGAGAAATAAGGCAAGTTTGGTTTTGTTTTTCCTTTTTCGTTTCAGCAAGTGGCTCTATGGATTCGTGCCTGATGATCTGGAGCATGAAACCTCAGATGAGAGCCTATCGCTTTGTGGGCCACAAAGATGCAGTGATGTGTGTCCAGTTTTCACCTTCTGGTCACCTGGTGGCTTCAGGTTCCAGAGACAAAACAGTCCGTTTATGGATCCCTAGTCTGTGAGTACCTGTTCCCTTCTGTCTCTCTTTGTGTTTTAACCATGGCTTGGGATTTCTTCTTGACTCTTGGTAGCAGTTCTCCAGCTGTGGGCCTGGGATCTGTTTGAGGAAAAGAAGAACCGCTTAACGTGAGGCCTCTGATGGAGGAGATGTAATTTGGTCTTGAAATTGCATGGAAAAGAAAACCAAAATCCTTTGCAAAGATTAAAATCCATTGTAACTTCCTATGCTAATGTAACAAGCCACTGATGTAACTCCTCAGTGGTGAGCTGTTGGATTTTTCTTACTTAACACTTTCTGAAGTAAATAGGAGAGTGCTGAAGGACTTGTGCTTGAAGACTTAATCTTACTGCAAGTAATGAGAAGCATTTTGTGGCCAAGATGCAGAAAAGCACCTGCCATGTTTCCTCTGGTCTCTTGTTTCCCACAGTAACAGTGGGGTTGGTTTTTCAGAATGGACAGGGTTATGAATAGGGATTGGAGATTCTTTTGCTTGTGAGCTTGTGAACTGGAACTATCAAAAGACTAAAGGAATGTGTACAAAAGCAGACCTGATGACTGTGGTGGCAAATAAAATGGATTTAAAAAACAAACAAACAGAAAAACCCCCAACAAAACCCAAACCCCTACCAAAGCCACACAAAGTATACACCCAAACTTTAAAATAAACAGGTTGCTTCAGGAACCTGGGAAAGCATTGTTTATTTTTGATGGGTTCTTATGTTATGATTACACATTGGAAACTTTCCTTGATCTATTAAACCATAAGTAATCTCTGTCATGGAACTGGTGTGTTCTGAAAATGACTTATTAAAATTCACGATAAAAGTGCCTTTAAATATCTTAATTATAATGGAAATTACAGTCTGCAAATTTAAGTTCTACTTCACTATAAATTACTCTTTTAATTTATTTTAGTTCAACTTTCCTATAGGGAAGGATCATGAGGACATGTTGGCATGTATGTTATTAAAAGGCACAAGGTGGATTAGGATTAAAATTTAACCTTGCTGCTCATCCATCTCCTACAAAGAAGGAGACTGACACTGTTGTTTTGCTGTTTCCAGAGCTGATAACACAGAATACTTAAAATAAATTACAGCACAAACTTGTTAGGGTTCTCAGAAGCTAATGTCTATATTTTAAGAAAGGACTGAGATGTGATGGGACAACTGAATGTGTGCTTGGGTGATTCTGTCCTGGTTGCTTAGCCATGTGAACTCTGAGGTCTTAACTATACCTTTGGCTGTCAAGTCATATCAGAAAAGGGCCACTGGGAGTTATTGTTACACCAGTTGTTGATACCTTGGTGCATGGCACCTGGAATCTGTGTTTATTTGATATTCTTTGTCAGTTTACCTTCTCCAAATATAACAACAGTGTTGATGTTGAGACCTTCAGATTGACACTTCTGCACTGTCATTAAAAGGGGAGAGAGAGCCTGCCCCATAGTCTGTGGGGTAGGACTTGCAAATAATCTCAAAATTTGCAGTCCCTTATTACAAGGGCAACGTGTTACTGAAGGAGCTAAAGCTGCTGTGGATTTCCATCTTTGGGATTTCTTTTTTTATGGGCCATGATGACAGAATTTTGTCATTTCATGTTTCTGCATGAGTTTTTATCAGAGTTGTGGATGTTTTGTGGTTTTGGACAGAAAGAAAACTTTCCTGAGAAGTAACCTTTACACTTGCTTGCCTTGTGGCAGACAAAGGATTAAATAAAACTAGGCAGCTCTGACCTTTTCTGAGGAGGGAGGGAATATTGCTGGAAGGTAGGTAGTATTTTGATTTTTTGGCCTTTATGGTTTTGGCAGTCCTCAGCCTCAGTATAAAGTTAAATCCCAATGGAGAAGAGAGTGAACTATCGTGTTTTTCTGTTCTCTTCAGTCTGTGAATATGGAGCTCCTGGTACACCAAGAGTTCCATAAACCTACTGGACCTCTAATTATGTTGCATTTTGTGTCTCTAGATAAGCCTTGCATTTATTTGCCAGAAGAATGCCTCTTGCATTTATTTGCATTTATGTGTAAAGAAGAGTAACAGTACTTTGACTCTTTTCTTACTTGGCTAATAGTGGTTTGCTCACAGTTGTATTTCTGCCCCTTTATAGGAAACATGGGTCGTTTTCTCTTGGATTGGGCTCCAATATTGAGCTGGAACAACTAGTTTTAACTATCTATTCCATATAGCTCGTGAAGCAGGAGTGAGTTTGGGGTTGATCAATGATTTTTTCCTAGTGTAATCATGTGTGGCTCCCACTGAAATTGTGGTTAATAGCACTGCTCAGTGTACAGCAGCTGTGTGTTTTCAGGAGCATAATGCCTTTGCTGCCCTGTTGAGCAGTTTTAAAGTGCTCTTTCCTTCTGTGCAGCAAAGGAGAATCGACTGTGTTCAAGGCTCACACGGCAACCGTAAGAAGTGTTAATTTCTCCAGTGATGGCCAGTCCATAGTTACAGCTTCTGATGACAAAACAGTCAAAGTGTGGACGGTTCACAGGCAGAAGTTTCTGTTCTCACTGAGTCAGCACATCAACTGGGTTCGCTGTGCCAGGTGAGTATGGCTCTGGGACAAATGGAGATGGGGATTTGTCCCTCAAAGCAGGGACTGAGTGTCATAGGCTGGTGTAACAGTTCTATTCAGAGTGATTCAGTTGTGTTTAGCGACTGAAATATATTGCTGACCTGCAGAGAGATCCCTCTAGGTAACAGTCTGCACCTGCTGTGTGTTACTCCGGTGATCTTTGTGAAGCAGAGACTTTCCTGCTTTGTGATTTCTGTACTTTGCTGTTACCTGGTAAAGCTTTTGTTCCTGTTGCTAACAGGAAGAATAGAAGAGGTTTCTACTTTTATTTCATCTCAGTTACTTTAGACTTATGACTCTAGTTAAAATGATCACCTGTGCTGCTTACAGAAGGCTGTAAGTGCTGCCCTAATAATAACATTATTTCCTGGTAACTGTCTCTGGTTTGGTTTTGAGGAGTTTTTTGTGTCTATACGCATGTAGGATAATGCCACAGTTTCTCTGTAGGTGGAAAATTCATTACAGTTCTGGAATGTGGTGGTGGCAGTGGCTGATAGCTCTGTAGGTGCCCACAGAAGAGCAGGAAGGATGTTTTTCCAGTATGTCTGATGATGTTCTCTAGTTAGGGACTCAAGTCTTGATCCTGTAACCTTTGAAGAGAGATCTTGATTTGTCATGTACAGAAGATTTTGAGTTGGGAACTTAAGAGGTTCCCCTAAAGCACTGGAATGGGGAAGGTTTGTTGCAACTGTTGATTTGGGAGTAATTGTGTTGCTCTGAACGCTTGTGGCAAAGGCAGGAATTGTTTTGAATCGGGGTAGAGAAACAATTTGAGACAGACTTAAATTGAAACAAGCAGGACAGGATATCTTTAGTCAGACTCAAGACTATCCTGAGAGTTATTTTATGTGCTTGAGGAATTAGGGATAGTTTGAGGACTTACAGCTTGCTTTCTTTTCCCTCTACTTAGTAATTGGATTTTTATTCTCACTGATGCCAGTGTGGATTCTTGAAGAACGAGGTGTGTTTACCATCATACCTTGACAGCTGGCCAAATCCAGTTGACCCTGTACACCTTAATTGCTATAACTCTTGTTTTAGGTTCTCTCCTGATGGACGATTGATAGTGTCATCTAGTGATGATAAAACTGTCAAGCTGTGGGATAAGACCAGCAGAGAATGTATCCACTCCTTCTGCGAGCACGCGGGGTAAGTACCTGGGGCTGAAGTCTGAAACAGGGTGCTTGGTGAACATACACCTGCTCTGTGAGGTTCAGAGGTCCTCCTCCTGGCAAATCTAAGACTGCTTAAAAAATCCTTAGCACCAGTTACAAAAGCAACCAGTGTGGGGCAAGATGCAAAAGAAGTTTCCAGAATTTGTTGACAGTTTGTGACTGCTCAAAGTTGCAACTGGGAGGGTTGTATTTCAGTAACTGTTCAACACATCAAGCTTCAGTTTCTTTGTGCTTATTTATTTTTGACTTGGATACTTTGTTTCATCCTCAAATTTTTAACTAACAAGGTTATTAAAAGAAACTCACTTTGTATTCAGAAAAACAGCTGTTGAATTTGGAATGTTTAGCCACAGCAGAAGTTCATTTGTCCAGAAGCATAAAACAAGTCCTTAGAGAACTAAGAAACTTCCTAATTCCTTGCTGCATTGAATTTTTAGGTACAAAGTTCTTTCCGGGTAATATCCAATGATTTTAAGACAAATTCAGACAATGTTATTTTTTCCAGTGCTCTTAAGAATATGGCTTGTCCAAACAGGTTATTGAAATATCTCAACTTCTCCAGCATTTATTATAAGTATACTCAAAGGATAATTAATTTTATCCAATTTGTTGTGTGTATTGAGTGAGGAGTTACAGGTGCCCTTAACTGGAGGTTCTGAAGGTTTTATTGTACTTATGTGTTCAGAATAAAAATTGATTTCATTCAGGTCCAGAAAGAAATTTGGCCTCAGCTTCACTACCTTACAAGTGGCAATATATGATTTCAGGCACAAATTCACTGAGTTCCATCTTAAAATTAGTTAATAGAAGAAAAATATCTGTTCAGTCTTTTACACAGCACTCTGGAAATAATGCTCATTTAATAGAAGACGTTATGGAAACATTAAATGAACACTTGAAAATGTTCTTGTGACAGTTGGATCCATCAGATTTCAGGAGACTTGTGTCTACAGCTCCTACACCTGCAGTGCAAACTGTTGAGATGGTGTGCTTAGGTAGGACCCTGCATTCTGCTTGGGGTTAGGAGCAAAGGTCTTAAGAGAAATTCAGCAAAATAAATTTTCAGGTCATCTCCTCCTTAATCTTCAGCGAGCCATAATGTAGCTTCCCTTCTTGAAAAGGCTTTTTTGATCTTTAGCAAGAGCTTAATGTGAACAGTTGGACTTAATTGCCCTTTGCAGGTTTGTGAATCACGTGGATTTTCATCCCAGCGGGACGTGCATCGCCGCGGCTGGGACGGACAGCACGGTCAAGCTGTGGGACGTCAGGATGAACAGGCTGCTCCAACACTACCAAGGCAAGTTAAGATCTTGCAGAAGTTGAACCTTTCCATGTATTGATATGAATTGCTCTGAAGTCCAAGGAATGTTTCTCCATCACCTGCTGCTTTTCTGAAAAGGCACTGGGTGAGGCCTGCCAGTGGAAGCCTTTTTTCTGCAGACATCGTGCTTTGCTTTGTGTGAGCTCCGAGACTGATTCTGAAGATGTCCTGTGTTGCAGGTGGGCATGGATGTTTGGCTCACGCTCACTGTTCTGGAGGAGATGGTGTGCAGTAAAACGATGTGGCCTTTGCCTCTGAATAAGCCTATAGGAGGAGTCAGAGGTATTCCAGCAAAACAAAAGTTGAAGTTCTTTATAAGAAAATGAGGAAAAGTTAAAAAAGGAAAATCAAATCAATGAATTGCAATTTTGTACCATGATCCATATTTACAGTTCCTTCTCCAGAATCTGTTTGGTTTTCAGCTTCCAAAATTAGCTTTGACCAAGTTACAAGTTGTCCAGGTTGGCTTTTCCGTGGAGTAGCTAGCTTTTTCTAGATGTTTGGGGCGTTTTTTCATCTTACCTTCCAAATGGCATTTCCTCCCATTACCTGTCCTTGTCCAGCTGATTAGTGCCGCTGTTTGGTATAAATGGGTAGGAGAAGGCTGCTTTCCCATCCCTGCAGGCTTCTTTGAGATTAATTGTCCTGTTCTGTGCATATTAGTTTCTTGAGCCTAAATGTGGCTTTTCTTTCCTTTATTAATAACAGCTTTTAAGTCTGCCGCGGTATTTTCTAATTGATACATTCTCAAGCACTGTTTCCAGGGTTGATAGCTTGTTGAACCTAATTTTAGTAACTTTTCCTGAGGACAGTTTCTGCTGTGCTTGTAAAGCAGGTAAGAGACATGGGGTTGGAGCTTGATGTGCTCTTTCTGCCATCCACATCAGCTACTGTGGGTTCCTCCTGTGAGACCCTCACAGCTTCAGTCATTCTTATGGATCACAGTCACTCCCAGTTCTCTGACAGTCAACAGAATCTAATAGAAATCAAACTTTCTGATGACTGTTGTTCCAGTTCACCCGTACTGAGCGTACAATCACAGCGATGAATTCTGAACTGCGATTCTTTGTGTAATGGGTATTGTTAACTTGTGGCCCATATCAAAACTTGGAAATGCCTTTCTGAAATCTTGTTGCTAAAATCAGTAGTGTGTTTAAATACTTGGGCAGTGTCAGGTTGTCCTTTTAACCTGCTTTATCAGCTTTTCAATGGTGGCAAGATCTGCAGCGCATGTTTCCAGCCACAGTATAACTTGGCTCAAAAATCATCTCTTCCTGCTTTCCACTTACTGCTGTTAAATTGTCCAGATCTAATGTGGTTTAGGTTTGGCTGCCAGGTCTATTTTTTGTCTTGGAATTACACATTTCCCCAGTATCCCACCCTTACTGAATGACATTTTAGTGTGACACCCTTGCTATTGAAGTGATCGTTTTCCTGTTGTGAGTGTTATTTTTAACAGCTACTGTGCAAATCCTAATTGTGTATTAAACTTTGAACTAAAAATAGTCATAGAAGCTGAAGGAACCTAAAATTGCAGTGGTAGCTGTTTTCAGGCCCTTCATGGACCTGTGGCCACAAACTGACGTGTTTGTAATGTGTTCTGGAGATGTGTTCATAAATCCCCCTGTTCTGAGGGTTTATACCTGTCCTTTTGGGTAAATCTGACGTAGTTTTGTGGCTCCCATGTGAGGCTGCCAGCCCAGTCCCACTAGATGGCACCTCTGCCTTCAGAACGTGCTGGTGCTGCCTGATTTGCAGGGAATCCATTTTAAAGATGGAGTTTCATGGAGGAGTTAACAGATAAGTAGCCCTGCCACGGGCTCTTGCGTCTTAAATTTGGGCTGTTTTCCAACACCGATTAGTCTTTTAGCGGTGTTGCTCTCGTTGCCAGGACTCGTTCCAACTGTGACATTTGTAAATGAAAGTTGGAAGTAGAGAGCAAGCTGCAAGACCTTTTGTATGGTGTGTTTTTCTTTCAGCCAAGCGAAGTATGCTCTGGTCACGTTTGCTGTACAGTAGAACAGACACCAAACTCTCTTGTACAGTAGATTTTGCACAGCCCCTGCAAAAGTGGCCAGTGTTTATTGCCTGACATTTTCTTCTCTGCCCCAAGTTGTGTGTGGGACGCCTCTGTAGCAGGTCTGTGGAAACAGTTCTAATCTGTTTTTTCAATTGCTGTTTAAAAGGAATAATTGGTACTTCTATCCCGTTTGGATGGGGCTTGATGGTAGTTACCCGTGTCAGTAGGGACTGTGGCTGTGTCAAGTCCATGCTAATTTATCTTCTCACTGGTGGTTACCAAGGGTTGCATTCCCTATTACATAAAAGTAGTATTTTGAGGCTTGGGACAGTTATGTGCAGTCACTACAGGCTGGCAGGACTCAGTTTTAGTTGTTAACCCCAGTGTAAATCTCCTAAAAGGCTGTTATGGTGCTCGGGCTTGGCTGGTGGAGGGGTGGCCTTGTGGAACAAGTCACTGGGAGATCCCACCTCGTGCTGCACTGGATTGATTGCTGACAACATGGAGCTGTGAAGGGAGGCTGCAGAATGTGTTGGCAAGTTTTTGGAGGGGTGTTGTGAATAATCTTGTGGGAGGTCTGAGCTGGTTTGGTAGAAGGCAGATGAAGTTTTCTCTGAACTTACAACAACCAAGAACTCCTTGGGCACAGAAGCTCCCACAGAAGCCCCAGTCTGTGTGATTTCTTTCCATTATGGAAAGGGTTTTTTGTGAAGCTGGAAATTATTCACTGTCTGGAACTTGGAAGATAGGATATATCATCAACTTCATCTATTTCTGGTGTAATTCCTTTCAAGACTTGCCTTAATTGACAAGATATGTTTGCCTCTATCTGAATATAGACACTGAAAGGTTGGGAATATTACAAATCAGAATAAAATTTTCAAGGGAGGAAGGCACTTAGCACTCTTTCATGAGAAAAAACTCCACACAGACCTTTTTCTCCTTTAATACATAGTGTAATACAGGGTAGTAGAGGAAGATCTAGCTGTGCGATAGAGGCAGTATTCACCAAGAAGAATAACGGTTCAGAAGTTACCTGTGTTAAGGTTTTCTTCTCTGTTTTTCAATAGTTCAGGTCAAGAGGAGTTATGTTTTCAGAACTTAAGCTGAGGTATTTAGTGTTCCTGAGAATTTCAAAAGTAGAGGCATTCTGTTTTACAGCTGAGCAAGGTTATTTCAGATATCTGCTTCAAATGCCCATCTGCAAAAAATAATACATGGTTGTAATGTTTTAAAATTGAATTTTGAGGTGGCTTTTTAACATGCACTTTGGATTTAAAATGCACAGCAGACTCTCAACGGACTATAAATTTAGTTGGGTGTGATGTATTAGGAGTAGTATATTTGAGATACCAGAACATTTGGAGGGCATAGAATTATAATTAAGAGTAATTGGATGGTTAAATCCTTCCTCAAGCCTAGTCTTAATATTCTGTAATGTCACATACGCTCAGAAAGCTGTGCATATGTAAAGTACTGCATGTTCTCATAAATAAATATGTTCAATAGCTTGTTTTGTGAAAGTTCGGGGAAGGAAAAAAACCCATAAATCAGATGTTTAATGTCAAACTTAAGTGAAGTTCACCGTAACTTTTTTTTTTTCCTAGAACATTTCCTCTAGTTCTTTTCAAAATAACTCTTGGGCTTCATGCAGGGAGGATTGCTTTACTGGAAGCTCACACTCTTGATAGTTTGTCTCTTCATCCTCGTTTTAAATATTTGGTGAGACAAATTGGATGTCTGAAGAAATAATGCTTATACTGGACCATTTTCAAGTTGCTGATTCTTTGTATTTCTCTTAAACACAGTCGTGGCTGGAGTCAGATAGTAAACCAAAAGAACCTGTGCAATGTCAGCTCTGGGTGTCTTTCATTGTAATTTCAGTCCTCTCAGTGCATTAGCATATAGATTTTAATCTGGAATGATTTGGGAGCGAGAACAGCAGCTCCACAGTAGTAAAATATGTCCATGTCCAGAATCCCAGAATCCCACTGCTGACTTGCACATCCAGTACATTTTGGAGCCGTGCTGGAAGCTTTCGTAGCATTGAATCTCCCAGAATAATTGGCAAAGCTTCCTTTTTCCTTTCAGTAAAGTAGTGCCTATTTTTACAAGAATTCAGTACTGTTCTTGTTCTCCAGTGCTTTGAAGAGCTCTTGTAGAATGTTTTCCCCCATGATAATTTTCCTGTTAAACTTTATAACAGAAAATTTTAATGTGCTTGCACTTTATTTTATTCTCTTTGCCTTGGGCTTATGTAAACTGGTTTTGGTGACTGTTATTTATGGTTTTTTTCCATCCTTAGTGCACAGCTCTGTGGTCAACAGTCTTTCCTTTCACCCCTCTGGAAACTATCTGGTTACTGCTTCCAATGATTCAACTCTTAAAATTCTGGACTTGCTAGAAGGAAGACTTCTGTACACTCTGCATGGTCACCAGGTGAGGCAAAGCCTTTTATACAGTATTTAACAAACTTGTAACAAACTGGGCAAATCTGTGCTTGAGGCTTTTGCTCTTCATGGCCAAAAATTGCTTGAAAACCTCCTTGTGTAAAATTACCATTATAACACTGCTAATAGTCTTTGAGATTGTCACTGTTTCGAAGGGAAGGCCCATGGGGAGGGAAGGAGGGAAGGCAGGAATGGAGAGAATGAGAAAGCAGGACCAAAAATGAGCTCCAATATTGAGGATTCAAGTCTAAGAGAGAAGGAGCTCAGTCAGGGCAGACTCTGACCCGGGGTCTGTCTCACACTCTCTAGTGCAGCTCTGTCTCTCTCCCTTTCTAGAGTCCTGCAAATAACACTTGGCCCCCTGACACAGGTGTTGTGAAGATTAAGGCTGTTCACCTGGCAGGACACTTGAGGACAGTAGCGATAAAATAGAGGAAATCTATTTTGGGATGTGATTTGGGAACATGTTTTCATCTTGTTAATGGACTGAATTAAATAATTGAAGGTGATAGATGCTGCTGGTGGGTTAAGTTTAACTGATTGGCCTATTAGTATTATGCTTCTGGATGTGTTGCTTGTAATGTTAATTGTATGAATGTTTGGAGCTCTCTTTCTAAATCTTAAATGAGAATAAATAGACTAATTTCATTGTCAGTGCTGAGTGGGGTGTGAAAAAGCAGGCTTGCCTTAAAGGTTCCCTTTGCAAAGGGAAAAAGAGAACAGAAATTCTTAACCCACTTTTGTCTCTTTTAAAGTGAGGGCTGAATTTTAAAGCATAAAAACTGCCTGGGGAAAATCGCAGCCTGAAGTTTTTGGGGTGATGGGGATGGTTCAGGACAACAGTGGTAGCTGTGTGAGCTGTAAAACAGATAATTCTGGCTTCTTGTGGCTTTGTTTAGTGACTGCCTTGTCTGATGTCTAAAAAGGTCAAGTTTGTTCTGTAACTTCTCTTTTGCTATACATAAATAAACTTTTCTCCCTTTTTGTAATATTAATACTTAATAGCTCATACTTAAACCTTTTCTTGAAGCAGAGCTTTGATCAAAACTGACCAGATGCTAAAAGAATGGGCAGAGATAAAAAATGCTGGTTATCCTAACATGTAAGCCTTGACTGTATAAAAGCTTTTCTTGCTGTGAAAAGTGGGCTAGGTGGATCCTCCTGTCAGGGGCTGCAACACTTCTATTGTCTTAATCTTGTTTTCGTATTTGTCCATTGTGTTAATCTTCCGAGTGAGTTCTTGGAAAGCAGCTTCCTGGAAAAGGGTACGTGTGGAGGGACAGTGGATCTTTACACCTTTCCTCCTTCCCTCGGGAGGGATGTGCCTGGTTACTGTTCAGCAGGAGGCTGAACCTGCTTTCCATTTTGTCTCCCATCCGAGCTGTTCTCTGCTCCTCATTGACTGCAGCGGCACAAAAAATGAGTTTAGCTCTGAATTAGAGTCCAAAACTGATTATGGTGATGGAGGTCTTCAGAATTAGACACTGGGAAGTCCCCCTAGGCTAATGCTGTACTTAACTCGAGGCTTCTACTGAACATTTGGTTTGAGGATCATCTGTTCAAAAGTGGAGTTAAAGCACTGGGTTCTTCTCCCTGTTGCTTCAGATCAGTAGGACAATGTCTGCCACTCTCTCCTGGGCATCTGACTGGCACTGGAAAAGCTTTGCCCCTGGCACAGCTGAAGGGTAGCTGCCATGGTGGGATCACAGATCCTTCAGTTCGGAAAAAAGTACAAGTATTAAAGTGGCTGGTAGAGCCTTCTGGTTGTGTTTAAGGGTATTGCAGTGAGATGGCTGTGGGGCCAGTCCTGGCCTAGCCCTGCCTGGCATTCCCTCTCTGGCATGTGCTGTATTGTTGTGGGTTGGTTCTTTTACTGCCTGATTTAACAGAGACCTTACTTTTCCACTGAAGGCATATGCCAACCTGTGCTTCATTCACAGTAATCAATGGTAGTTGACTACAGGCCCTGCTTTCACCAGAAGCTGCTGAGGTGGATTCCTGCACTGGCTGCTTCTCCAGCCTGTTCTGCTCATAGATAAATCCAGGCTATTTAATACTGAGGGATTTTTCCCCCCACCCTCTGTTATCATCTGTGATTTGTGCCAGTATCCCCAAGTGGCAAAAAATGAAGTGAGGTGTGGATATTTTTGGTCATTAGGTAGATTTGCCTTTTTAAGTGAAGGCTACCACACGAACAGCCTGTTCCGAAGATGTTCTTGAGTTGTGACTTCGTGTGGTTGAACACGCTGGTTTGACACTTTGTTCCTACTGTGACAGCTGGCTGCTGTTACATTGTTCTGGGAAGGCTGCATGCAAGTGGACACTTGAAGGGAAAAAAAAAACCTTTAAGGCCCTTTAGACATACTTTGACGCAACTGCTGGAGTGCCAGGAATTTGCTAGCAGCTGATTAGCTGTAGTTTACATGGGGAGGTTGGCCAAGTTTACATTGCTGTCTTTAACTGAAATGTAGCCGGCCCCTTGTAGCAGGAGGATCATTAGAGACAGGAGTTTGCAGCTTGGAGCTGACGTCTTGCAGCTGCAAAATATCATTCTGTATTGTGCTGCGTATTTTGGTTCTGGAGGGCTTCAGGCTGTGAAGTGCTCTTGTCCAATTCCATACAGATGAGACACTGGCTTGGTATGCAAGTCCATCACTGGTACTGTGATGGTATCCCTGGCAAGGAACAGAACGTTTTGGGGCCCCTAAGTCACCTCTGGAGAGTTGCTAGAGGGGAGCAGGTATGTACGTGGTGCTTGTCTGGCCTTTGGAGTGGTTTGGTTAGAGCATTTCCAGACTGACTTCCTCGGTGGAATGGAAGTTCAGAGTAAATATTTAGAAAACATCTCATGGTTATGTTTATAAATAGGAAGACAGAAAATGCAAAGATACAATTCTCCAAGCAACCTTGACTTGAACTATGAAGTAGCTGCATTTTACCTACCTGGGTGACATAAGTGCTCTCTGCTTTGCTGGCTGACTAATGAGCAAGAGTTCCTGAGCAGGTGCACAGGAAACAAATGTGCTCCTTTGCTGTCTGCTGCCAACTCTGCTTAGGTGGCATTAAACATCTGTGCAGGCCTGGTCCTCTTGTGATGTTCGAGGACATCTCAGGGCTGCACAGAAGCCAAACAACAAAGGGAGAGAAAGGTGTGTCACGAACAACAGGCAATTGACTTTAGGTTAGCATTTCTGGGTCTTGAAATGAAATACAAGTGCCCTGCTTTTGTTTTGTGTTTCTTTAAACTGAAGCTTTCAGGAGTTAAAGGTACTGAAGATTCAATTATGAGATGCCAGTATAATTTTCCCCTATGTTAGCTGTAGCCCTTACTCCCTTGTGTTATCATCCTCATTGTGCAGTTTCTAGGAATCTGCCTTTTTATCTAAACATTTTTCTTACTGTTGGAGATATGGATTCTTTCCACAGTCTATATAACTTTCCATTCCATCCCTACTTGAGGACAATATTCAGCTTTGTCCTGCACCTCTTGATTTTCCAATGTGCCAGTAGAAAAAATAGGTGAAAGTCATGACAACCAGCATCCTGTCTCAGACCCTCTATGTTCCTTGGCACTTGAATGTGTTTATCAAGTTTTTTACTTGCTCTTGGTGTTTCCCCAACTGTCTTGATCATTTATTCTTTGCGTAATTTGCTCCTCTACCCCCCGTCATCTCAATGTCCATCTGTCCAAATGTGACTTGCTGCCTTCTCCTGTGCATGAAGCAGCTGAAAGCACTGCTAACAGTGTCAACAGTGACTGCTCTGTTCAGTATTATTTCTTTTATGCCTAGAACTGATGATGCCATGCCTGGGATCCCATGTGCTGGTTGCTGCTGGATTTGCTTCTCAGGCCTTGTCTCCTCTTCTATCTCCTTTTTCTCTTTTGTTCCAGGAGAGTTTGACTGAAGGCACTGCCTCATATCTTCTCACTTCTACATCTCCTTTTTTGGCAGTGGAAGAGGAAGCTCTCCTTTAATTCAACTTTTTGCATGCTCTAGATATGCCTTGTTCCAGCTCTTGGCACCTCCCTTGCTCTCTTACCTGGCTCTTCTCTACTATGCATTACTTTCTCCCAGGATTAAAAAAAACCTAAAAATCTACTGGCATCCTTGACCCCACTTGTCTCTCCAGCTTCCTTCCTCACTGCCTCTCCTTTCATAGTGCAGACGGTGCATCGTTAAACTACTCTCCTCTGGTTTATTCCTGGACTCTCTCCCGCCTGGCTCTTGTTTCTTCTGTTATGCTGAAGCCAAAATGTTAGCTCTGTTCCCAGCTGAAGCCTGGAAGTCTGGCCTCTCTTGACTTGACTGTTGGTGTTGGCCCTGCTGTTGTTAAGAGTGATGTGCCTTCTGTGCCCAGCAACTCTGTGGGGAGAAAAGGGTGTTCAGGAGGGATTTCTCTGTGATCGTCCACTCGTTATTTTTGGATGGTACACATTCATCTGCTGCCTGCGTGCAGGTATGGCTGTGTGCTGCAGGCGTATTTCCATTTCTCCAAACTAAACTCTTGGCCTTTCTCTTAAGTATTTATTTCAGAGACATCTATTTTTAGCTCTACCCTTGAAAGCTTTGTGTTCGGGGATGCTATTCCTGTTGTCTTATGTCATCCCTGTGTCAGTTGTTCCTGATGCTATTAGCATCCCTCCGGTCACTCACTCGGTGTTGTAATCTGTGCCTTGACTTTGGGTCCCATCTCTTGGTGATTAAGGCATTCAAGTAATTTGGAGTAGCTCTGAATATCTGTTTTGAAGGCCAAACTTCATGTTTTATGCAAGCTGATCAACCTATGAATTTCTAGGGCAATAAAGGCCTTATGATCACTAGCTTCCTTCCATAGGAAGTGGGAGAAGAGGGAGAAGGTGTAATCTCCATCTCTGGGGGTTTTGGTCTGCACATAAATTGTGTAACATGCTGGGCCTCACCTTTCTTACCTACTTATGCAGCTAGAAGTGGGCTATTACCTGGTGTTTCAGCTGCCATGGCATACATGTCTGCCCAGCTCCTGTTCATGGGGAATGCTGCAAAGGACCAGGTTTGATGCAGTTATCCCCTCTGTATGGCTTCCTTTTTCTTTACAATTCTTTGCTGCATCTAGTGTTTGAGTGGATTTTCCTTTTCAAAGCTCTGTGGGACTTCCCTCCCCACCTGCCCAGTGCTGTTTCACTTGAGGAGATGAGATGAATATTAATTAGTGGCAATGTTGTTCTCACTCAACAATTCCAGTGGATAACTTCTTGCTTCCTTCTGTACTTTCCCTCAAACTTTTTGCAGCTCTCTTCCAGTATCACCAAAACTGTCGTTATAACATCTCAAATTCTATTCGACATACACGAAAGCTGGACGGTCCTCATGTTGCTGACCTGCTGAGGGCTAAATAGAAATGCTCCTTACTTCTGATTTTGATGTTTCTTGTTGTCCAACCCTTTCTTCTTCACAGCTTGCTGTTTAGTGTAAGGCAAGAATCTGTAGGAATTTGGGGGTTGGTGCTAGCAGCTGGTGTGGAGCACCCAGGACAACAGGGATGCAGACTGGAAATTCTGAACCTCCAGGAGATACTAATAGAAGGCCATTGTATCCTGCTACAGAAAGAGGAAAGTGATCCTTTAGAGGGCTGCTTCCTCCCATGAGTTCTAGTTATGTGGGAAATAAGTTTAAAATTCTCTCTACAACTTCTATAGAAGAATATGAAGCTGGTACTTTTTGACACTTTTGATGCAAGCCATAAATTAAAAGGAGGGAAAAAGTCCCTCACCACTTCCCTGTTGTCCAGGACTGCATCAGAAATCTGTTGGATTTCTGCAGTGCTTACCTGGGACAAAGGGAAGTTAAGCTGTGTCTAATAACTGGCAAGTGTAGCTTTTTCTTTTTGTGTAGTGTGTTTATATTAAATTGCAAGAGTATTTGGCAAACTATGTTGCTACAGCAAACCTGTTATATCTGGGAAGAGTTCTGTGAGTGTATGTAGCAGGAATACTTTTCACTTAATTTATGTCAACAAATCTGTGGAGGATGTTGTGTCTATAGACTTGTTTGTTCCCTTTCTTTCAATTTATAAAGGCACATTCAGTCTTTGATATCATTTTCTATTTTGGGAGGAATATGTTCTGTTGAACTTTTTTTCCCTTAAGAATGCCATGACTTTAGAGTCAGTTCATTGCCTGTTTTGATGTGATTTGTGCTGTGCCAGATTTTGTCTAAATACACTGAAATATTTAGACTGATAAAAATATTTTTGGGAAACATTGCTCCTCCCCAGTGTTCCTCACTTGTGCTCATTCCCGAACACTTTGTCTTGGATTTTTTTCTGCCCTCCTAACTCTGGTTTATTATAGTCAGAGTGCAGTTTCTCTTTGCTCTGCTCTGTTATCTTGGAGCAGTATTCACCACTGCAGTTTTCTGGCTGTGTAGTTGTTTCTGCCCTTTCTTACTGGTTGTCTTTTGCTTTTGCAGTTTTAGAGGTTCCATTCCTGACAGCATGGTCAGAGAGCTGAACTGCTGGGAAGGGTGGGTGGGAATAAAGGCAGAAGCTCAGCTGATTGATGGCAGTGTCTTCGGTCTGAAATATCTAACCCAATCACTGCTGTGTCATTTGAACAAGCTTAGTCACACTGATGAGTGCACTTTGAAATTGCTGCTTCTAGATCATTTCTGGCAAGTTCTCTGGAGTGAGGTTTTGCTATTAGAAGACCTCAAAACATTTTGAAATTTCACTGCAGGTGGAATGATAACATGGAAATACCTTGATGTGTTTTAAGGAAACTAAACCCCTTCGCACTGGGAGTGACCACATCAAGGTCTAGTTTTGCTGGCATAACCTTGTGCCAGCATGTTTGGAAGCCCACAGGACTGTGGGACACAGTGAGAGCTGGCTGCTTATCCCAGATGCAATCTTTGGGTGTTTGTTTACTCTCAGGATTTATAACGGTGAGTTCACTGCAGCAAAGGAGAGAAAGAAGGGAAACCAGAAACAAACTGGTTGTGACATTTCCATGTGATGGCCATTGGGAAGGTGTGGACTCTTAAAAGAATAGTCTCTCCTTATAACTTGATACAGTGGGGAGAAGCTTCTTACTTGCCTTCTGAGATACATGATCTTACCTGACAGAGGATAACTCTGCGTCTGAGGAGGTGTATGATTGTGTGGTGGAGTTTTCTGGGGGTTGTTGTGACTTTGTTTGTGTTTTGGTGTTTGTTTCAGTGTTTCCCTCCATCAGTCCCCCCAGGTTGTCAGTGCCATAGGAAGTTCTCATTTCTGCCTCTGCCCTTTTCAGCTTGGGCAGAAGCTTGTCTTAGGATGTTCTGCAAGGGAATGTGCTGAGCAGCTGACACAGAACTCCACGATCCGGGTTCTTGGCTGTTTATTCTGAGCAGAACAGTTTGTCAGTTGTGCCTGTGCTCGAACACTTTTCCCAGCTCTGTTTAACCTGCCTCATCCTTCCCATGTGCATCCTCCTGTGTTTGTGCTGGGAGGCTGAAACACAGTAAAATAGGTGTGTGGTGTGACATGTTCTGCTCAGGCAGTGCTGTAGCACTCGGCAGCATTTGAAGCCTCTCAGAACTGATTCATGCACGAGGCTTCTTCAGAATGCAAGTGCTTGTGCTGTGTGAAGATGATCCTGGATGCATCAGCTCTGGCATCTCTTCTGTAAAACTGCTAAGAGAAAAGCAGTTTAAGCCAGCCTTCTATTCTGCAACTAACACAAACCTGCATGGATCATTAGGCTGCAGCTTAAAAATGACAAATGATGGTGTTGTAAGGAGGGCCTGTCTGCTGCAGGTACCTGTTTGGTTTGAAACCTCTGTCGTTGCCTGGACAGATTTCTTGACTTAAATGCTTGTAACCTTGGCCTAATTAATTGGTGCAAGTTGATTGCTGTGGTTGATAGCTGGTCAAGCACGTTTTGAAATTAATGTCATGGTGCAGAAAGCAAGAGCTTTTAAGCCTTGGGTCTTCTGCAATTTGTATGGAATCTTTTGAGGGGAACAAGGAAAAGCCTGACTCTGTAAAAATTGTTTTGTTCCCGTCTCTGTTTTAATGCCATGGATACTGAAAAATGGATATCTTAAACTGGGGGCAAAAGTGTGGGAAATGGTAAGTGTGGGCATGTTAATTGTGGCCCATTTGCCTGACAGGTAAGAGCTTTCCAAATTTTGCCTTTAGTTTGCTGATGTCAAATGAGAAATGCCCTGTAAAACTGCAATGAATGGAACTTTGTAACACTTTTTCTTTCATGTTTTTTTAAAACTATCTTTTGAATGTGTTTACAGGGCCCAGCCACCTGTGTAGCTTTTTCAAGATCTGGAGACTCATTTGCTTCTGGAGGGTCTGATGAACAGGTATCTGATTCATTTAATTTGATTGGTTTGTGTCTTGTTGTTACTGTTTCTTGGCGTCTTACTGCTTTTAAAGAGAGGTGGCATAGTTTGTCATCCTGTCTCTTTAAGACCACTTTTTATTTAAGGCTTTAAACAGACTGTTTTGAAGAGATTCATCCTGTTTTTTGTCTTACAGAATTATATTGGGGTCACTAGATAAAGGTTTCCTCTTGAAGTACTTATCTAACACAAGGAATAAATAATGCCTGTTTGCTGTTGTTTCTCTCTTCCTTAATAAAAGCCCTGATATAGCTGGAAGCTGCACTTCATTATTACTCATTTTCAATAGAAAACTTAAGAAATTTTATTTGTCTTCAATTTCTAGGCATAGCCAAGAAGCTGACTGTTTATTTGTTTCACTTTGAGCTTAAGAGGATGTATTAGCCTACATTTCTTTGTTGTGTAAAGCAGATTCCTTCAAAAGGCTTATGTTTTATCAGCTCTTTTGTCTCTTCTGTGGTTGGGATTTCTTTAAGCAAAGTAATGCTCATTGCAAAGTATCACCTGGTGCTGTTAAACTGAAACACTGACTGGCAGTGCCTCTCTGGCAGAGTGCCTTATACAGGTATGTTCATGGCAAGGGGTCCTAATAAACTTCTTTGGAGCTCGAGTCTGTGGTTTTGGATGCATGTATTGGGAAAGGTGGCTCTTGGCTCTCCTGTTCTTGGCTCCCATGAAGGAACTGCCTCTCTCCTTTTGGATTTGTATCTGAAAATACAGCCAGTGCTTCCTTTTGTGCATTGAGAAAGAACTTAAGCTTAAAATATATTTATATGTGTATGTATTAAAAACAGAATTAGCCCTAAATTGTATACATGCAAGAAGCTTCTTCAGTGGAACAGACCTTGTTAAATACTGTTTTTCTGAATCAAAGAGAAATACAACAACTAATTATCAGGAACATCTCTGCAGGTCAAAAAGCATTTTTTTGTGTGTGGTAATTTAGACAGGTAGCCTCTCCAAAAAAACCATACTTCATTACTGAGCTGCAAATAGAGCCTGTGATGCAATTATGTGCTGGTCTTAACAGTGTGAGTTGAAGACATGGACAGACTTCAACCCCAAGGAGTGGTCTGAGCAAGGATCCATTTTTCTGTCACCAGTCTTCACTGGGCTGTATTGCATTGCTCTTAATCCCCAAGTTAGACTACGTGGCAGTGCCCAACTTTGTTGCAATAGCACCTTTGGTAGCTGTGAAGAGGCAATCTGTACAGTTAATATAGATTGTGTAATCTATACAATAAAAGAGCATCACTTTTTTGTCCTGTTACATGGTGGAATGACCTCAGGGGTTAACCATGCAACTGCAAAAGAAAAATGCTTTCATGTGAAACAGGGATGAAAATTTGCAAATGAAGAATAAACACTGATGTTTCTGATAACCCAGATGAGCTGCCTGGCTTCTTGGGTGTCTTTCAGTCCTCTGAAATAGCTGATTGATTGCTCTTGAACTTCTTTAGACTTGTAGGGACACTGCTAAGGGTTTTAATCCATAGACTTGCTCTTAATATGTTGAAGTGATTTAGAGGCCTCTCTTCTGAAACCAGGACTGTGTTATGGAGAGCAGGGGCCTGTATGTGGGATTTTAAATTTGGCATTGAGTTGACAAACTAGCTCAAGATCTCTAATGCTAGTCTCAGTACTAACTCTTATTTTCTTCTGAATGAATCTCATGATAAATGAGTGACTAGTTGTTTGTGGTGTGGCTGATAAGTGTTATAATGCCAAGCATGGTATTTTAAAATATTTGTGGTTTTAATGCTGTATTCTGCATGTTGCTTTGAAGTTTTCTAAGTCCTTCTAGTTTCGTGATGTTCTTGACCCAAAGAATGTTGGAAGAGGTAACTTACCCACTGAGAACTCAGTTAAGCTATATTCAGTAGCATATTTACAAACAACATCCTTAATTTAATCCATGGCAAAGCTTTCCTAGGTGAACTCTTCTCTGATGTGTTGACAAAATTGTCCTTTAAGCAAACGTTGACAGAAAATTTTAATGGAGTCAATTTTCTTCTGCAGGTGATGGTGTGGAAGACCAACTTCGATACAGATTATGGTGATGCACTGAAAACACAGAAGTCTGGCAGTACTGTGGATGGGTCCCATCACACTGGGGTAGGTCAGCGTGCAGTCATGGGGTAGGGTTCCTGCTCAGAACACTTTCTGCAACTTGAAAGTGTGTGACTCAGGTGGTTGAACTGGGGAACCATTTTTACTTGGTATTTATTTGAGCTGGAGGATATCTGTTTTTAACTTATCTTGTATTATTTGCTTTGTTTAACTGTATAGGAAAATTATCTGTAATGATTTTAAAAGGGAGATAAGCTTAGTGCATGTATGGATATGTTTTTTTTATTAAAAGCCTCTGTTTAAGCATCCATGGTAGGCTTGAATGATAGTTCACAAAAAAAGCAGATGTGAGGAACAGCTGAAACTGGTTTTGCTGGCTGATGTGAATCCTTCAGGCTGGTGTCAGTCCTGAAAATAGATAATGTTCATGATATCTGTTCAGTGACAGTCAGCAAAGACAAAAAAAAAAACCCCACTGCTTGTAGAAGTCACACATGACAAATAGGTGACATATTGTACTGGAGCTTCTTTCCTGAACACCTGGAGACATAAGTTCATATCTGTTCCCTGAACCATATCTTAGGAGACATCTGAGTTCTGACTGTATGTGAGGGATAAATCCAGCTAGTGAGTAATGCAGCCTGATGCACTGATCGAAGTGTAGAGCAGATGCTGGATGTCGTGGCTGTTACAAGAGCAGCCCTCAAAAGTTACTGCCCATAGGAGTTATAATTTTTGCATGTGGTGATGATTCACTTGAACTTCTGAATTTTGTCTTGTCTATCTTTGGATATTTTTTGATACATTTGAGTACGCTTGTAGGATTCTGCAGTGTGTTATTACTGTGGCTGTTTTTTGGTAAGTCTTGTTCAACACGAGCTGTAATCTAAAAGGCCATTTGTGAAACAGGGGGTCTGTGCATAAGTAGCATTGCCCCAGTTGAAGGGTAAGCTTCTAACCACCATCTGTTGCTCTGTGGCAGTGTCTTTGACCTTATCAATGTGGGTCTTCACTAGGTTACTAAACTTCTCTCAAACATAGTAGTGTTTTAATTTAATATGACTTCAGACCATTGCTGGAGGTGCTGGAATAGCCACAGGATTTTGTGATGGGCAGGATCTGAGCCTGCAGCTCTAAACCTGATGCCTTACTTTATGATCTGTAAAGAAAGCAAACAAAGCCAGAGGTTGGTTAGTGCAAGATGAGTAGGAGAGGATGGGAGAAAGCAGTCACAGAAGGAAGGACATGAAAGTACTTATTGATCTTTGGCTGGCTGTGGCTAAATCTGACTTCTTCCTTTCCCTCCTCTCCAGTGTTCTAACTCTAAAGCTATGCAGGCTATGAAACTATCAGTCCAATGACCTCTTTGTTTATTAACCTATTGAACTGGTCTAACTTTGAACTCTCTCTGCTTTAATTTAAAATATGGTGCAGTATAATTGTGGACTGAAATACAACAGAGACAAAGAAAACCTTTCTGGGAAAAAAACACCAGTTTCAGTTTGTAACCTTCCAGTGAGTGGGTTAAATAATGTAGACAAGGTGTTGGATAATGTGAGATAAGTTTACCCTTCCCTGTGCCAGAGCATATTATCCAGTAGTAATTCAAGGAAAGGAAGAAAATGCCCGATCTCTTCTAAAACTCAGTTCTTCATTATAAAACTTCTTAGGATGTCCATCGAAGGGAGCTACTGGGCAAATCCCTGGAACAATGACTAACCAGTGTGAATATCTGTCCCTCTAACAAAACTATTCCCTTGAGGAAAGGGGTTTACCTGGCAAAACTTCCAGTAGGTGCTGCTGGGACCAGCTACTGACAGGCAAATCCATGCCACGTGGTTTTGGCTGACAAGGGTTTGCTCTGAGCTGTGGGAAACAGGGCACAGGGTGCTCTGTGGGGTGTCATGTGTTGATTTGGGCCAGGGACTGTGTTTCTGCAGAGGGCAGAATGAATCCATTCTGAGTCATGTGGCAGAGACATACTTTGGTCTGGGGACCTGAATTACTTCAAAGGGGTATTTTGAACTGCCACCCAAATGCAACCTTTGGCTTGGGCATGCAGCAGGGGAGCTGCAAAATATAGCTACTGCTTAATATCCTTGTATTAAGGGCAGTTACAATTGCTAAAGTTAGAAGGGGAAGAATCAACAATGTCCTCTGAGAGCTTGTTTTGAATACCCTAGGCTAAGATTAAATTTAGAATGGATCTGAAATGTTCTTTGCTGTTAAAAAGAAGCTGATATCTCTGAAAATGTCTTGGTTTGCTATTCAGATATAACCTGAGCTTGAAAGTCTTGGCTCTCTAATAACTCATCCATTCATGGCAGCCTGCTCTTTTCTTTCAAGTGAATGTCATGACTTGTATCTTTTAGAAATGCATCATGCTGGGCTCTTTAAGAGTACCCTCAGTGCAAGACTTAAATTTCACTCTATATTAATTTCTTTCTTGTTTTAAACCAAATGCTTGCTTTTTTTTAACAATGGGTTACTTATTTTGGTGGGTTTTGTGTAGTTGAGATGGTTATTTTTCCCATCAAATTCAGACTTTGAAACTGCCACCTGCAGATCTTGATTTCATGCCAAGGTCACCTTTTCCTTCAGTGAAAAGTGAAGTTGCTCCTTCTTTCTCTACTGCTGTGTTAGTGTGCCAGGATTCCGCCTATCGAATAATCCTGAGATTTTGCAAACATTTCAGGATGTATCTATATTTAAAATAAGCATGGAGGTTATTATTTGGTTTCTGTGTCCCTAAAATATATGAACACTATTCTCAATACATCTTGAATCTGTGTTCACCCTTAAGTCCAAAAGAATATTTTTCCAAGGAGAGCTTATGCTTTTGTATAGCTGTATAACTTTTTGTTAGGCCTTGTGAAAGAACAGATACAAATGAAAACAGTGGCTCTATAAAACTACTCACTGCAGTAACTGGTTTCTCCTTGGGAGGGTCTGACTTACATGTGAGAAAGAATAATTGAACACAGACCTCAAAACTAGTTTGTCATCAAGATGAATAGGAAGAAAAAAAGAATCCTAAATAACCTGTGGGATAAGAGTCATGAAATATTGTTGGGGTTGGTGAGCTTGAAAACAAACTTGCTTAAAATCAGTTTTCACTTCCCTAGGAAGAGGGAGACCGGAGCCTTTAGCAGATGCTGGTTTCTGAGGCAGCTGGTTCAAGCTCAGTGTGAATCAGGGTATTGGATGTGTTTGTAACAACAGATGTAAACTTCAAAGTTGCTCTGCCCACCTGCTTCTGTTTGCTGTAAATATATGAGGCTTGGGAGATGCAGCTTCCTTTGAAAGTAAAACTGATCCATGCAAGGAATAATGCAAATGAAAGGGAAGGTCACAGTGAGCAGGATTGCAGTCATGACTGTGGAGTAAAATCACAGACATGAGAGTGTGATAGAACACTAAAGCTGTCAGAAGTGAATTATAAACACGTTAGCATAGACGTGAGACTGTAAATGTTAGATCAGAAGTAGTACCTCTGCAATAAATGCTTACTCTTAAATGATAAGCTAACAATTGTTGCTATTAAGTATTTCATAATCACCTTGAAAACCAAGGTTCAGGGCGAGCGCTCCTGATGTGTGGGGTGTGAAGCTGATGGGAAGAAATCAAGTCTTGCAGTCCTGTGTCTTGATCCCATGAGTGTGCTTGCTTTGATCTAGAACCTAAAGGGTAAGAGTAAATTCATACTTTATGTTGCAGTATTGAGTGGTGAGGACCTAAAGGAAAGTCAGAATGAGAGGTGTGGATTTTGCATGTGTTCTCAAAAATGTGGGGGTTTTGCCTGTCTGGGGTCAGTAACTGAGCATTCGGGTCTGTGTGAGGAGTTGTGTAGGATCAGATCAAAGGACGTGATCACTGTTCTGATATATTTTGAAAATAGTCATCATGCCATTTATTTTTCCCAGGGAGGACAGATTACATCCTCTGCATATAGCTTTCTAAAGAAAAATACCTTAAAGCTTGTTTGTGTTGGAATACCTCAGAAGCAAAGCTGTCTCGAACAGGAGGAGTAGGGGCTTCACATGTCCAAAAGGCAGTGAAATGCACAGGCTGCAAGGATTGTGGGTGGTCTGTTATCTCAGCTCAGGGTATCCTGTCGAGAGAGGTACTTGGTACAGCAGAACATAAGCTTACAGGTGATGGGGAAGTGTTTCTCCTGCCACTGCAGTTGCAAATTCTGCAACCATAGAACTTAAATATATGCAGCTTAGTTTACAGCTCCTGATAGGACTCCAAGACCTGTGAGTGGATGTGCAGGCAGACTCAAAAATAGGCAATCCCTTGGTAGGGCAGTTTGGGAGACGGGCAGAGTTGCAGAGCTGTCCTTTGACACACTCTTGCCAAGAAGTCTTTCTGCTCTTCTGAAATTCAGGAGCACAACTGTTTTAAATATCTGTAGCTGCTATGAAGTTCAGTGGCACTCAGCTGTGGAGATATTAGGTTTGTAAGCATAGCAGACCTTCCCAAAGGGAAGCTTGGGAAGAGTAGCATTTCAGCAGAAAAGACTTTGAAACAAGTAAGTAGCCTGTGACTCTTCAAATGTGTCTTTCAGTTAAGACAGACATTTAGGCCTCTTTCTACTCTGCTGGGTTTAGAACTTTCTCCAGGCATTGGACTGTACTTATTTCTTCAATGGTATTTTTTTTCAAAAATAGTCCTGTTGAATAGGGTTGGAGACTAATGCCAAAAAACGTGATCTGATTATAAAGTTGTCTGAGTCCTGTAACTGAGTGTCCAGAGCTGACTCCACCTCTCTCCTCTGCTGGTTCTGTCTGTTTGGTGACCTCGGGTGCCTGCTGTGCTCAGCCTGTGCTCTCCGTGCTGACTGCAGCACTTCACTCTCTCAGCCACTGTCCTTGTGTAAACAAATTCCTCCTGAATTACTCACAGGCCAGATGTGCCTCTTTTTTTTGACCTTTTGGCTTCCAAATTGGTAACTATGTCTAATTTTGGCATCCGTTAATACTTATGAATCCTTTTGTACTTTTTTTTTTTTTACTTGCTGTGAAATTCCCTCCTGGGAATCA